ACCATGCTGCTACCTTTTGCTGAGGCATGCGCCCCTAGCGCCCACGCCGAATCAAAGCTGGAGCGTTTCGCCCTGTACAAGCCTCCCAACCATGCTGAAGGCAATGGAAGCAGGTTGATAGAGCATGTTGCTACTTTTTGCGGAGGCATGTGCCCCTAGCGCCCAGACTGAATCAAAGTGGGAGCGTTTCGCCCGTTACAGGTATCCCAACCACGCTGAAGGCAATGGAAGCAGGGTGGTAGACCATGTTGCTGCCTTTTGCTGAGGCATGCGCCCTCAGCGCCCAGAGCGAACCAAAGTGGGAGCGTTTCGCCCGTTACAGGCCTCCCAACCATGTTGAAGGCAATGGAAGCAGGTTGATAGACCATGTTGCTACCTTTTGCTGAGGCATGCGCCCCTAGCGCCCAGACCGAATCAAAGTGGGAGCGTTTCGCCCGTTACAGGCCTCCCAGCCATGCTGAAGGCAATGGAAGCAGGTTGATAGACCATGTTGCTACCTTTTGCTGAGGCATGCGGCCCTCGCGCCCGCACTGAATCAAAGTGAGAGCGTTTCGCCCGTTACAGACATCCCAACCATGCTGAAGGCAATGGAAGCAGGTTGATAGACCATGTTGCTACCTTTTGCTGAGGCATGCGCCCCCCCCCCCCCCCCCCCCAGCGCCCTCACTGGATCAAAGTGGGAGCGTTCCGCCCGTTACAGGCACCCCAACCATGCTGAAGGCAATGGAAGCAGGTTGATAAACCATGTTGCTACCTTTTGCGGAGGCATGCGCCCCCAGCGCCCACGCCGAATCAAAGTGGGAGCGTTTCGCCCGTTACAGGCTCCCCAACCATACTGAAGGCAATGGAAGCAGGTTGATCGACCATGTTGCTACTTTTTGTTGAGGCATGCGCCCCTAGTGCCCACGCTGAATCAAAGTGAGAGCGTTTCGCCCGTTACAGGCACGCCAACCATGCTGAAGGCAACATTGATAGACCATGTTGCTACCTTTTGCTGAGGCATGCGCCCCTTAGCGCCCACACTGAATCAAAAGCGGGCGCGTTTCGCCCGTTACAGGCATGCCAACCACGCTGAAGGCATTGGAAGCAGGTTGATAGACCACGTTGCTACCTTTTGCTGAGGCATGCGCCCCTAGCGCCCAGACTGAATCAAAGTTGGAGCGTTTCGCCCGTTACAGGCGTGCCAACCATGCTGAAGGCAATGGAAGCAGGTTGATGGACCATGTTGCTTCCTTTTGCTGAGGCATGCGCCCCTAGCGCCCAGACCGAATCAAAGTGAGAGCGTTTCGCCCGTTACAGGCATCCCAACCATGCTGAAAGCAATGGAAGCAGTTTGATAGACCACGTTGCTACCTTGTGCTGAGGCATGCGCCCCAAGCGCCCACACCGAATCAAAGTGGGATCGTTTCGCCCGTTACAGGCACCCCAACCATGCTGAAGGCAAAACTATACTTCTGCATATGGACCAGGCTGACTCTGGCCTAGTGTCCACATACGTGCGACGAAGAAGAAGATGACCGAACAGAAATCTGTCTCGATACAGTTGAACATCAGGATGATGCAGTTCACGCCAAAAAATGGGTGTGAATTCCTTGCCATGTGTAGCCAGGCACCGGTGGCCAAAAACAAGCACCTGGCGGCCATGTAGCCGCTGATGGGCATGCAGGAGAAGAGCTCCGCCAAAGGAAAGGAACAGGAAAAAGTCGGCCGTGGGTCAAGGCCTCTGACTCCACGCTGAAGGCGCCAACCGGGGAAGGGATTACCCGCCCATCCCGCGGGCGTCGGCGCAATCTCATGGCACGATGACCTTCCGACAGGCAGGATGAAGAATAGAAAGTGGCACAGTAGCCAATTGGGGAAGGGATACCACCCAACCTGCAGGTGTCGGCCAGTAGCCGAGAACGGCGGTATTGGGATGTCGAAGAGACGGTTCATGCAGGCGAACGTCGTGAACGCCTACGCGCCCCCGATGGGGCATCATGATCAGGTAATTCTATGTGTACGTGAGTGCCCTCGACGGGCCGGCCACACGTGATAACCCAGTTCAGTTAGCCCTTCGTGGCACACTTGTCAAACAGGTGTCTGCCCTCAGTCGGGAGCACAAAGAAAAATGTTCATGACAACTCTCGCCTCGCGGATGCGAGGCCCAACCACACGGGTTCGATACCGAGGGCGTAATTGTCGTAGTGGTCCATTCTGACGGCATTGGAAGCAGGTTGCTAGACCCTAATGCTACCTCTTTTTTTCTGAGGCATACGCCCCCAGGCAGCGGCGCGAGGCCGACGAGACACGGCCGAATGTTACGCGCTGGTCCTCCACCTCCTCCTCCTCCTCCTCCTCCTCCTACTACTACTACTACTACTACTACTACTACTAGTACTACTACTACTACTACTACTACTACTACTACTACTACTACTACTACTACTATTACTACTTCTACTTCTTCTTCTTCTTCTTCTTCTACTACTACTACTACTACTACTCCTACTCCTACTCCTACTCCTACTCCTACTCCTACTCCTACTCCTACTCCTACTCCGACTCCTATCCTTATTCCTTATTAGAATATGCTCCTACTCCCCCCTCAGGCCGGCAGATAGGGGCCGCATCCGGGTGGTCCCATCCTAACCTGTAAAAAACAATACAAAATCATATTTTTTCTTATTTTTTCCTCTCGACATGGACGTCCTGTCGTCCACGGCGATAATCCATTGCAAAAAATACCACAAAGAGCACACGCGCGCGTTCATGTCAGAATCCTACCGAACACCGTGTGTTTGCAAGCATTTCAACGTAAAAACATCAAAAACCCAATGCTTTTTCACAAAAAAATGTACAAATTTCCCGCCCGGGCTCTCGTGCTGAAATCATAGGAAAACCATAGGAATCTTAAGAATTCGGTCAAATCCAGCGATTTCACGTCATCGCGCGGTGCACTCGCGATGCTCTGTCATGCACCCAGGCCGCGAATCCTGTGCAAAAAATTCTACAAAGAGCACACTCGCGCGTTCATGTCAGAATCCTACCGAATACCGTGTTGTTGCAAGCATTTCAACATAAAAACATCAAAAACCCAATGCTTTTTCACAAAAATGCTTTGGGGTGTCCTGTCAGACCGTCGGGCTTCCTCCGGCCACCTCTGGCTTCCTGCGGTGTACCAGGCCATTCTCGACTCGTCTGGCAATGCGTGCGCGGCATTCAAACACGCGCTCGCCAGTTCCCGTCGGCAACCGCCATCGCGGCCACATCAGCTGTACCAAACCGGCTGGCCGGTGTGACTTCGGCCCCCAGTTGTGCCAGCTTTGCTTCTTATGTTGTGGGAGGGCGGGTGGGACTGGGCATGCCATGCTTGACTCGCTCGAGCTGGCTAGCTTGACTCCTAACTCCTACTCCTACTCCTACTCCTACTCCTACTCCTACTCTACTCCTACTCTACTCTACTCCTACTCCTATCCTTATTCCTTATTAGAATATACTCCTACTCCCCCTCAGGCCGGCAGATAGCGGGCGCATCCGGGTGGTCCCATCCAAACCTGTAAAAAAACAATACAAAATCAACAGTTTTCTTATTTTTTCCTCTCGACATGGACGTCCTGTCGTCCACGGCGATAATCCATTGCAAAAAATACCACAAAGAGCACACGCGCGCGTTCATGTCAGAATCCTGCCGAACACCGTGTGTTTGCAAGCATTTCAACATAAAAACATCAAAAACCCAATGCTTTTTTTCACAAAAAAATCTACAAATTTCCTGCCCGGGCTCTCTTGCTGAAATCATAGGAAAAATTGATTGAGTGTGGTTCATGATATAGATATAATACTCTCGTTGAAAAAAATTAAATCATGGGAAAACCATAGGAATCTTAAGAATTCTGTCAAATCCAGCGATTTCACGTCATCGCGCGGTGCACTCGCGATGCTCTGTCATGCACCCAGGCCGCGAATCTGTGCAAAAAATACCACGCGGGCGACATGCGCGCGCGTCGCCGCGAGCGCATGCTCAAATCCTTCTAGAGTCGTCGCCGTCATTGGCACCGTCGGTCGTCCACGTCGCAAAATGCATAGCAGGAATGGGACGCGGCGCACACCCCGCGCCCGCCCATCCAATCCGTCCCATTCTAATCTGCAAAAGACAATACACAGTTGTTGTTTTTCTTGTCAACATGGTCGTGCTGTCGTCACGTCGCAAAATGCGTGGCAGGAATGGGACGCGGCGCACACCCCGCGCGAAGGGGTGACATGGTACTACTACTACCACTACCACTACCACTACCAACACCACTACCACTGGTACTACTACTCCTGCCTCTTGGGGCCTCCTGGCCCCCTTGGGGTGTCCTGTCAGACCGTCGGGTTTCCTCCGGCCACCTCTGGCTTCCTGCGGTGTACCGGGCCATTCTCGACTCGTCTGGCAATGCGTTGCGCGGCATTCAACACGCGCTCGCCAGTTCCCGTCGGCAACCGCCATCGCGGCCGCATCAGCTGTACCAAATCGGCTGGCCGGTGTGACTTCGGCCCCCAGTTGTGCCAGCTTTGCTTCTTATGTTGTGGGAGGGCGGGTGGGACTGGGCATGCCATGCTTGACTCGCTCGAGCTGGCTAGCTTGACTCCTACTCCTACTCCTACCTCCTACTACTCACCCACACAACCCACCCTTGCTCCTGCTCCTGTCCTGCTCCTACTCCTTCCATCCCTTTTTCCCTGCCTCCCTCCGCCCCTCTAAGTCCCTCCCGCTCCTCCCACTGGCTCGAAGCAAAGTACTCTCCTCCTCCCCCTCCTCCTGCCTCCTCCTCCTCCTCCTCCCTCCTCCTCCTCTCTCCTCCTCCTCCTCCTCCTCCTCATCCTCATCCTCATCCTCGTCCTCCTCCTCCTCCTCGTCGTCCTCGTTCCTCCTCCTCTCCTCCTCCTCCTCCTCCTCCCTCCCTCCCTCCCTCCCTCCCTCCCTCCCTCCCTCCCTCCTCCCTCCTCCTCGTCCCTCCTCGCCCCCTCGCGTGCAGGTCCCCCCGCGGGTGATCGACAACATCGTCGGCGTCGTCAAGGCCTACACGACGCGCGTGGGGCACGGGCCCTTCCCCACCGAGCTGCAGAACGAGGAGAGGGAGGCGGAGGAGGAGGAGGAGGAGGAGGAGGAGGAG